GCGGGTCGGGTTTGGTCATTTCCGGCCCAAAACGACGCTGACTAGGCGCTCACGTTAGCCACGTCAGCACATAACGGAGTTGGACGGCAACTAACGGCGAGTGACTAAGCGTGTCCTGTTTTAGTAATTTTAGTGACCAAATTTGATATTAAATTTTTACAGTGACTAAACATGTCCTAATTTAGTAATCTCAGTGACCAAATATGTCTTTAACCCACTACATATATTAAGCTATGTTGTTAATGTTTCTGTTCAAACCAGACCTATATATTTAACTATGTTAATGTTTGCCTTACCAGCTGCTTCTCTTTCTTTGTGTTAAGCATACTATCACCCACGTACCTAGCTAAACTACTCACCCTAAGCTACCAAATCAGATTTTATAAACTAGGATTAACAACCAAATTAAATCAACTCTTCGTTTATAAACTCACCCAAAGTTACCTCTCTAACTATGAACCTGTTCTCTTCTAAAAAAAACTATAAACCTGCTCTTGTTTATAACCTTACACACTAACAACAAACACAATCTTAAAGCAAAAACCAACACACAGATCTCCAAAATTGCACCCCATCAATATGAATTTCCAGCAGCAAACCCAGTCATAAACACCACCAAATTTTCAAAATTGAACCACAACCTCAATTCATGCTAAAGCAGAATCAAAACACTAAATCGAGCGTACTATTGTAAATCATCAACAATTACCCAATCAAGAAGCCAGCAATCAAGTAAAACTCTATATCATCAACACTGAATTTAAATAAAACCATAGAATCGGTAGCCAATTTATTCTAGTTCTCGAACCTGCAAAAAGAAAATTTCAATTAGAATCCACCAAGCAAACAAGATAATCCAAAAATGAAATACGATTAGTAGGTCATTGTCTGCCTTCGCCACATCAGCCGTCGGCGACACCGCCAGTGCTCGCCGGCGGTGACCTCACTTCCTCCTCTGTTCGCTTTCCCCTTTCCCTTCCTCGCAATAAAAGAAACCAGAAAATCAATCGGAACCCTAAATACCCCATAAACAAAACCGAACCTCAAAATACGACATGCAAGCAAAAAAAACCCTCTTACCCTCAACGCCGGTGGTACCCAGAACCGCCGCCGCCGCGTCCATCGCCGGTAATTCTTTCGCTGGCGGCGACCTCGTTCTCCCTTCCCTCGATCGAGAATAAAACCCAAAACGAAACAAAAATCAAAGACTTCAGAACCCAAAAGTTTACCCAGATCGTAATCAAATCCGGAAATTGACATGCAAGTGGATGACAACTGACCTTTAACCTCCTTTAGCGTCTTTGCCATCTCCATCGTCGTCAATCGCCGTCGTTTCCTTTGACGCTGCCGCCTTCCATTTTTTTTCCTTTTTATTAGTCGTCGTTTCTGGAGGAGAAGAGAGGAGGGTAGATCGAACAAGAAAAGAAGGGGTTAGAACGAGAGAAGACCAGCGGTTTGAGTTTTGGTCTTGGTTTTTTTTTATCTCGGGTCTCAGAACAAAAATGGAGGAGGAGATGAGAGGGGATGAAGAGAGATACGAGTGGAGGGGGAATACCGAGCGGCTAAGTTTTTTTTCTGGGCCTAACCCTCGTCATTCTCTTCAAACAAGAGGTTCAAACCTTAACCTTTTATTCGCAAATTGCCAAACACAACAGCTTAAACCAGTAGGCTGATCCCTAACGAATAACAATCTTAACAATCTCTTTGGATTTTAACTCTTTCACATCTTTAATACGTAAAATTTAAACGTGATCGAATCTTTAGTTTAAAATTAATTCAATTACTACTAATACCCAAAGGGTATCTCAAATTCAATAATTAGAAGATGCCTGATTTTGTTAAGTCAAAATACATATTTTTCCTAAACAACTATTATTAAAAAAAAAAATCATAGTCAATAGACCGCGATAATCGTCACGGTGAAACCCTTTCAAGGGTCATTTATCACTCAATCACTAAATTGAAACATCATAAATACATTTCGCAACAACTCAATTATCATCTTAGCCACGATCAATAGAACGCGTTAAGATCACTTCAAATTTTTTCCTTTTATTCGAACTACGTGGACTTTGATCCCGGTTAACCCGGGTACGTAGGCAACCGATAGGTTCGAGTCCAACCATCCTAAAAACCTCTTTCTTCACTTTTGAGATTTTTACATCAATAGATGTATGCTCAAATTGTAATAACGAAATACTTAAATTAATCGAATGCAATAATACGCAATAAGCTACAAATAATGAAACACCCAACCTTTAAAAACTTATCGATTTAAGTAGTACCCATTTGGGGCGTTGTGGGGTGTGAATACACTTCCCCACACGTAACTGTACTCCCGAACCTAGAAAATCTAACACTTTCGCATACCAGATTTCTGGTGTTAACCTAAATAATAAAACCGGAAAGGGTTTTCGATCCACTCCAAGTAAGATCGATCGCGACTCCGAGCAGTTCGCAACGGATCCTCCGATCTCGAGGGGAGGTTGCGACAGCGGTAAGGACACACTCGCCCCAGAAACGAGTGGGCAGGCCAGAGTGAAAACGAAGTGCTCGTGCAGTATCCAACAAGTGGCGATGTTTCCTCTCTACAACCCCATTTTGTTGGGGGGTGTCTGTATAGGATGTCTGTAGTATGATCCCTTCCTGCTCGTAGTAATCCTGTAACGTGGGCACCCCAAACTCTCGACCATTGTCAGTTTGCACACGCTTTACACGTCCAGCATATTGGGTGCGAACCTGGTTAAAGAACATGAGTAGATATCGAGCAACTTCCGACTTATATTTCAGTAAATAAACCCAAACGGTACGACTGTAATCATCCACAATTGTGAGAAAATAATGTGCCCCACTAAATGAGGCTTGTTTGTATCCTCCCCAAATATCGACATGAATGAGTTCGAAACAAGACTGAGTTTTGATAGAACTGGGCATAAAAGGAAGCCGAGTTTGCTTGGCTTGAAGACAAGAAGGACATGGATCCTTATTTGAAACCAAAGTGCTGGAAATATGAGGTTGTAACGCCATGAGCTTAGCTGGAGATGGATGACCAAGCCGCATATGCCACAACGAAGTATCCCGAACTGCCTTTCGCGCGTTGAAAGCTACTGGATGATCATTATCAACCACACGAAGGTAATACAGCCCGTCAACATGTCTACCCGTCCCAATCATCCTCTTTGAGTGCAAGTCCTGGATAACACAGAAATTACTCATGAAAATTACTGCGACTGAATGGTCTGCTGTGAGACGACTGACTGATAAGAGGTTGCACTGGAAATCTGGAACATATAATACGCGACGTAGAACTAATCCATTGGCTAGTCTAGTCGTGCCAATACCGCGGACCGAGACCCCTTTGCCATTAGGAATCGTGACCTGTAGAGATGGATGAGGCTCCAACTCACCATCGAACATAGATTTATCTTTAGCTATATGTTCAGTACAACCGGAATCAATAATCCACGTATCTTGAAAGGAAAGATTCTTACCCGTAAGGTTACTTGTAGGTGTCGAAGAGGATGAGAGGAAAGCACGAAGTTGTTCCACTTGTGATGACGTGAGTCCAGGAATTGGTGTTGACAAGGCTTTCTCGACTGCTGCAGCTTGAGGATCTGGTCGAGGGTTCTTGTTTGAATTCCTTCGGCGTGGACGATCTCCCTTCTCGACCTTGTCTCCACTGCGAGCTGGCCAGCCAATTAGCTCGTAACAGGTGGCCTTGAAGTGTCCCGGCTTCTCACAGTGCGTGCAAAAAGGGCGACCCTCCGGAGTTCGCTCACCATTGAGCTGCTGCTTCTCCCCCTTTCCCTGAAACGTAGCCGCTTCGGTACGAGGACGAAGGTCACTAGAAAGGCTCCTTTGTTGCTCGTCATTAGCAACAGCATGATATGCTTCGCCCAAGGATGGGATGGGCTTCATGGATAGAAGGTGAGTACGAACTGTGGAGAATCCATCGTCGAGCCCAACCAGGAAATCGAGCAGCCGCATAGCTTCATGAGAGCTTCGTGTTCGTTCCTCGACGCGCCACTCACACTTGCCGCACGTACAAGCTGCGGGAGGGTCCAGAGTCAACCAGTCATCCCAAAGGCGCTTGAGTTTGGCGTAAAAGCTAGACACCGAGGAGCGATCTTGACGCAGACCCATGATCTCTCGGCGAATCTTGTAGCGACGCGGAAGGCTGCCAGTGCTAAACCGTTCCTTGAGTTCGTCCCAGATTTGTTTGGACGTGAAACCAGTGCCCAAGCTGCTCCGGAGCTCCCTTGTCATGGCGCTGCGCAACCAGCCCACCACCATTGCATTGCAACATGTCCAGGCATCCAGTAATTCACCAGCGTTTGGAAGAGGAATCGTGCCGAGCACGAATCCGAGCTTATTTTTCGCAACCAGTGCATTAGAAATTTCGGCTGACCATTCGCCGTAGTTCATGTCGGTGAGCAGATCGCCGACGAAGACTTGACTGGGCGCGTCTGAAGGATGAAGATAGAGAGGTGATGTCGGACCAATGACATCTTCGAGGAGAGGCATCTCAGCCTCCGATTTGACGTCGTCGTCCTTTGCCATGGCGGCGGTTGAGCGCTACCTTGGTACGACGAGAGGAAAAGAGGACCCTAGTTGATCGAGGTACGCTCTGATACCATGTAAAACAGCAACTTGCGGAAGCAATAAACGAATAACACACTCGATTTACGTGGTTTCCCTACTCGATGTGAGTAGGACTATTCCACGAAGAGCTTAGGGCTCTTAGTCCGATCTTATTGATTGATGATTTGAGAATACAGCTTAGGTTTACAATGAGCTTCTCTAAGCTATATATGAGAGTAGCTAGGTAGACTCCTAGACGTACAGAAGGATTAGAAGAGGGGATATACACAAGCAGGAAAGGAATTATCCCAACTAAGAGTTATCCCAACTTAAGACTTCTGCCGAGTGAGGATGCTGAGATGTTGCTTCCTACTCAAGGCAGCTTAAGGACACGTGTCCTCCATGACACGTAATACTCTCTCCTCCACAATCATGTCCGAGTACGCCAACAAGAAGACGTGCGGCGCCTTCATCGCCGCGGTATTCGCGATGCAAGGATTCAACATTCTGTGCGGGGGAATCGTCGCCCACATCGTCTCCAGCGCGTTCGATCACGCACTCAACGCGCCACCGTACTCCGCCAACAGAGCTGCGTCGCTTCCCCCTCAGGCCGACTACGTCTGGCGGATAATCCTCATGGTCGGAGCCATCCCGGCCGCGCTGACCTACTACTGGCGGATGAAGATGCCCGAAACCGCCCGCTACACGGTGCTGGTGGCCAACAACAAGAAGCAGGCGAGGGAGGACATGGCAAAAGTGCTGGCCGACGTCAAGCAGCTGGAGGAGATCTAGGTCGAGAAAGTCAGAGTCATCACCGAGGTTTCCGACGACAAATTTGGGCTGTTTACCCGCGAATTCCTCAAGCGCCATGGGCTTCACTTATTGGTGACGACGTCCATGTGGTTCCTCCTCGACATTGCCTACTACAGCCAGAATTTGTTCCAGAAGGACATCTTCACCGCCATCCACTAGATCCCGTCGGCGGCAACAATGAACGCTATCCACGAGGTTTTCAAGGTGGCGCGTGCACAGACGATCATTGCGCCGTGCGGGACGGTCCCGGGGTACTGGGTCACGGTGGCGCTGATCGACAAGATGGGGAGGAAAAAGATTCAATTGCTGGGATTCTTCGGCATGACCGTGTCGATGTGTGTGCTGGCGACTTGGTACAACTACTGGCTTCGGCACTACGTTGGGTTTCTGGTGTTCTACGGATTGAGTTTCTTTTTTGCGAATTTCGGGCCCGATGCGACGACGTTTGTGGTTCCGGCGGAGATATTCCCGACGAGGCTGCGGTCGACGTGTCACGGGATATCGGCGGCGGCGGGGAAGGCCGGGGCAATCGTTGGCGCGTTCGGGTTCTTGTACGCGTCGCAGTCGAAGGATCCGGCGAAGGTGGACAAGGGGTACAGCCCGGGGATTGGGATGCAGGGGTCGCTGTTTGTGATGGCGGGTATCAATTTACTGGGGATTCTGTTCACGTTGTTGGTGCCGGAGTCAAACGGGAAGTCGCTGGAGGAGCTGTCCGGGGAGACTGAAGCAGAGGAGCCGGCGGGGACTGCCGGTGATGATGTCAAGGAGGAAGCAGGGACTGCCTCTGCAACCAGGGATGACAGTCCCGTCTAGATCCATCGATGGATACATGTAGAAACTTTGTTAATGTTTTGGAGTTGGTAGTTAAAGATGTATTTACGATTCCATTTATTCATTCATTTACGCCTACATAGATCGTCTGCTAGCTAGCTGTAAATTGTAATTCATTTACAACCTCTGTTCTGGATATTATATATATAGTACAATTCATTAAATTTTTTAGACCCTCGGAAAGCCATGGATAAATTTTTTTTACTAAATTCAAACATATACATGTCCAGATGTCCTTAAAATGAACGTCTGAGACCATTGATCCACAACAGTGAAGTTTTCTGGTATAGAATCTGTCCATACATTGCTGCGCTACAAGAACCTTGTGCAAGCTTCTGACTGGAGCAGCCTCTGCCTATCCAATACTCAAATCAAGTAAACTACCACTTCCACTAACACAAGTATATCCAAACCTTACATCTATTTACAAAAAACATTTCTCGTATAGGTCAGTCTCTGAACAACAGGTTTCACAAGCCATGATCTACCATTATACTTTGTATTATCACCAGAAACACGAGGGTGAGCCATAAGATTCCGATTCAGAATATTCGGAGATGAGAGATTCATAACCACTGGAGCCTTCCTCACTTGCATCCACATTACTTTCGTACGCAGGTGGATCTTCATACGAGTATTGACTCACCAGCATCATCCTTTTCGCGATTCTCAGTCTGGCCAGGCCATCTATGGTTCAACAGCAGTGACCAAGTAATGCAATCCATTCACCACATCATACACCATCAACCCAATTCTCCCTCCAATCCAACTGCCCAACTCACTCCCAACCAGATACCCAACTCTTCCAATCCCTTGCTCCCCATAAAACCCGCCAGCATACGCTCCAAACAAGGTCCCTGTACCCCTCAGGAACCCTTCAGTTATGGTCCCGCCATAGTAGACCGCCTCGAAGAAGTCCCAACCCGAAGAAATTATAGGCCCTACGATCCTTTTGGCCTTTCTAGTGGCCAACTTAGCTGCCTTTGCGCCTTCCTTTTGTGCTTGCTTAGCAACATCTTTTGCTGATATCCCTTGCTGCATTGCATCGTGTATTGCCTGCTCGATCGCCAAATTCCTTGCCTTTTCTACGTGTGAAGATCTCATGTTGTAGACGTAGAGCTTCACACCTTCCTTGACCGTGCATGCTAGGGTCCCTGTGCTCATGTCGAAGCAGTCGAAGATTGTAAACTTGCCGCTTTGAGATGACGAGTCTTCTCCCACAAGTATCCTGCATTTTTCGGCTAGAAAACGAATTGGAGAATGAGCATCAGTTTACTGCATACGAGGACAAGAGATGATGCAACATGGTGGGAGCATCAAGGCAATGAGATGGTGGTATATGAAGTCTGATATGAAGTAATGTGCACTATGCAATAGGATACTATTAGGCTGAATTCATGCAAGGAACAGCAAAAACCAGTTCAAAGATCCAAACTTTGTGTGGAGGTTTCAAACATCAAACGCGACAACCAACTGGTACACAAAAGTACCAAGTTCGTTGTTTTGGATGAACAGACATTGCAAGATAATGCAGGAAAGAACTAGCACAAGAGGGAATCTTTAAATCAAAATAGCACAGGACAAACCAGTTCAAATACAATCAAGGTTGGTTCTGATCATATGACTATGAGTGGACAGCCAACTATTTAATGGCGGGAACCAAGATCAGAACACACGAGATTTCGGCCATCAAATGGATTTTATGCATTATCCAACCAATATGTCTCAATAAACCAAGTCACTGGGAAGGTCCTGATATATTTCACTAACGAAATGACTCTGTTCATTGAGGAGGGAGAAGAACGGGAGATTATCTCGCAAAGAAAAGCATCTGATTTGATCATAACAAATCAAATGAATCCTTGAGCATAGTAGTGATATAACCCAATTACACATTCACAAAATTAACCTGAAGAACAGATCAATTTCAGCATAAAGTTCAAATTCTAAACCAAGTCCCTTTCATTTACCATAAACCAAACAACAATTAGACCTAAAGTTCAGAGCAAAAGCCCCCATTAGCAAGTCCTCTTCAGTCTTCACAACTGCAGACTTACAAAATCCACCGCCCTCCTCTGTTGATTTTTCAACCAAATCCCTTAGTCCACATCCTTAAACTATCTGAAGCCATCAACTTTGAAGGAAGAAAAGTGGAAACAAAGAGAAATCTTAATAGTATTATAAAATTACCAGCAATACTGAGAGCGATGACCCCAACGATGAAAGAAAGAAGTTGAACCCGCCTCCTCTGGAAATCCATCTTTTTTGCTTGCTGGGTTCGGAGGGAAGGGTCGAGAAACGGAAGAAAGTCGCAATATTTACTTGAAAACTTCGGACGACAGAGACGAATTTGAGGAAGCAAAGAAGATTCTTTGCCCGAGTTCGTAGCCGGAGAGAGAAGAAACGGTCGCAACAAACGTTTTGTCTTTCGAAACTGCCATTTAATTTCTGGTATTTTTTATTCTTTTTCAGGGGTTTTTATTGGACCAGCGCAGTTTTCCAAAGCACATCTAATCTAAAATGGGTTAATGACACATTTGATCACTATGATTACTAAATTGTGTCATGTTTAGTTACAATGGATTACTTCTCTCCCGCGTGAGAGCTTCCCCCCTCCTCTGTCTGGCAGAGTGATTGTTCATCTCCTGCCTTGTGCGAATTCAAATCCTTCCTCCTTCTCCCGCCCTGTGAGATTGTTTTTTCCTCCCCTCTCTATTGTGGTCTCTACTTCTGATCTCCATTTTCCTCCTTCGCTCGTGGAGCAGTTGTTGGTTTGGTGGTTTTGGCATCACAGTGTCTGTTGGTCTCCCCCTGTCATGGCAACCGAATCTGAAATCATTGACAAAATAGCTATTGTTAGCCTTACTGAAGAAGAAGAAACTAGTATCAAGATCGAGGAATCTGATGAAGAGAAAGGCATTGAAGAAGTGATTACCGAACTCGGAGTAGCAAGAAAGATTATAGCGGGGAGACTTGGCTCTGCTAGGGTTATGAAGAACATTATGAAAGATGTCTGGAGACTGAAGAAAGACTTTGACATCAGAATAAAGCAGGAGGGCATTATGCTAGTTCAATTTTAATGCTATGAAGACCGAGAGAGGGTCCTTCTTGGAGGCCCATGGCACTACGAGAAACAGCTTATTGTATTCAAGGAAATACCGCCGAATTTAGAGTTACAGGACATCGACTTTTCCACAACAGATATCTGGACTAGGATCCGCAAGATCCCGCTAAAACTGAGGAACAAGAATATGGCAACAAAGATCGGGGGGATGTTTGGGTCCTTCCTCAAATGGGATGAATTTCACTCTGGTCGTGACAGTGACTACTTAAGAATCAGGGTTACTATCAATGTCAGGAAACCACTAAGGAGATTTGTGAAGCTGGATGGCCCCCAAGGACCCTCCTCGTACAAGGTGGCATATGAAAAGCTTCCAATCTATTGGTACCACTGTGGAATCTTGGGGCACTTGAAGAGTGGATGCCTGAAAAAACTGGAAGACCCGGAAGCTAAAGTAAGAGAAGAGTATGGTACATGGCTTCGTGCTGAGTCCCCGCTGAAGAGAGTCGATTTACAAGCTAAGGAAGAGAAGAAAAGAATGGATAACCTATGGACTGAGATGAGAGAAGGCAAAATTGTGAAAGGGTATCGAAGCAAAAGAGCTGAGCAGATGGTGAAGCAGGTTGAAAGGAAAGAAACAGAGCTAAAAGAAGGTGAGTTAGCTATAAACATGGAAGCAAGCTCCATTCAGGAAATAGAATCTGGTAAGATCACCACGAAGGAACTAGCCAAGGAACTTGAAGCTATAAGGGCCAATGATATAGAAACATCAGGAGACACGAATGGGAAGCAGGAGGATATGGGATCCTTGCCTTGGCACCATGAAAGTGATAAAATAATGAACAAAACAGGAGAAGAACAGAAGTCGGGAGACAAGAGAACCCAACCATATGCTACAGTCCTTCCTGAGGAGAGCAGAAAAGAACAGGATGAAGTGAAGGAAAATCCATCGAGCCACAGGACAAAAAGAAAAATCGAAGGAAAAATCATAGGAAATAAGAAATAGATAAGGCTGGAAAGGAAGAAAGTGGATAAGCAGGAAGGAGCAAAGGAATTAGTGGGTGGAAAAAGATCAAATGAGGATGAAGTGATAGACATGGAAATCGATCCCTTGACTTGTGGTGGTAAGAAGATGAAACAAAACTCAAAACTTAATGTGGATGGCGAAGTGGCGGACCTTGCCGGTGAGCAAGGGCGCCGAGCCCAATGAGGCTCATAAGCTTCAACTGTTGAGGTCTGGGCAGTTGATGAATTAAAGAGGCTCGTGGGGAAACAGAGACCTGACATTTTATTTCTGATGGAAACTCGACTGTCCAACAAAGAATGGAGAAGTGTAAAATGGAAACTTGGGTACAAAAATGGATGGGGAGTCCCAGCCAGAGAAGATAAGGGGATTAAAGCTGGGGGAGTTTGCTTGTTCTAGAGGGAGGGGATCACGATCTCCTATTTGTCCAACACTATAAATTACTATGATGTCACAGTGAGTTATGAGGAAGAAGGGCCAATGTGGAGGTTGGCTGGGTTCTATGGTAATCCTTACAGAAGTGAAAAGATTTGTCTTGGGAGCAACTTTGCAGGGTGAAGGGAGCTTCTGATATTCCATGGTTATGCATGGGGGATTTCAACCAAGTCATGGCGGGGGATGAAAAGGAAGGAGGCCGTCTCATTAATGAAAACATGGTTATAAAGTTCTGTGACACGTTAGAGTACTGTGGCCTTATGGACTGTGGCTTTGAGGGTTATCCCTCTACTTGGGATAATGGCCGAGGGGGTTCCAATTTTGTCGAAGAAAGACTGGATAGGTGTCTGGCCAACTGGGACTGGCAGATACAATTCCCAAACCACAAAGTTATCCATCTTGACAGATGTGGATCAGATCACTGTCCAATCCTTATGATCACTAAGGACAAAGAAGAAGAAGACATTAAATGGGGTTGGCAATTTAGGGTGGAGTCCTACTGGCTGAAGGATGCTGAGAGCAAGGATGTCATCTCCAAAGCCTATAACTCTAATGAAAATGGTAATATTCTGGAAATTCTGGGCGAATGTAAAAGGGAGCTTCAGAGATGGAGTAAAGAGAAGTTTGGAAACTTACAAAAAAGAATTGAGAAGATTGACCAGGAGCTGAGGAGGATCAAGTACTATCCAAAGTCAGAGCAGCAAATACAAAGAAGAAGGAGTTTGGAAACTGAGAGAACGGATCTCATCCATAAGATAGAGCTGAAGTGGAAACAGAGATCCAGGGTAGACTGGCTCAAGGGATGGGATAAGAATACGAACTTTTTCCACACAAAAGCTACTATGAGAAGGAAACGCAATACCATAAGGAAATCACTGATGAGTTGGGAAGGAAACATAATGGTCAAAAGGAAGTGTCCAACTATTTATTTGACTAATACACCAACATTTTCACGAGGATGCCTAACCTTGGTTCTGATTTTGTAGTTAATGCAACAGAGAAAAGAGTCTCGGACAGTATGAATGAGGAGTTGTCTGCTCCTTTCAAAGAAAAAGAAATCTACATTGCTCTTAAACAGATGAGCCCTACAAAAGCTCCTGGCTCGGATGGTTTTCCTGCAGGATTCTATCAACGAATTGGGATTCCATTGGGGGTCATGTCACGGCAGCTGTTCTAAAATACCTCAATGAAGGATACCTCCCCCTGAAGTTAATCATACACTGATAGTCCTTATCCCTAAGGTGAAAAAACCTACTTTGGCCAAGGATTTTCGTCCTATAAGTCTCTGCAGGATTATCTATAAGATTGTGTCAAAAGTTTTGGCAAATAGACTCAAGGGGTTTCTTAATGAGATAATTTCTGAAGAGCAGAGTGCTTTCATTAAAGACAGATTTATTACTGACAATATTATCACTGCCTTTGAATGCTTTTAGTACTTGAAGAGAAAGACCAAAGGAAAGAAAGGATTCTTTGCTGCAAAGGTGGATATGACCAAGGCTTACGACAGAGTAGAATGGGATTTTTTGGGAAAAATGCTTCAGAAGCTTGGTTTCAAGGAGAATTGGATCAATTTGGTGATGATGTGTGTTAGGAGTGTTTCCTACCTTTTTCTTATATGTGCTGAGGGATTCTCGGCCCTTCTGAAGAAAGCGAAGAAAGAAAAAAAGATCCATGGGATCAAGATATGTCATAGGGTGCCTACCATTTCACATTTACTTTTTACTGATGACAGCCTAGTCTATGGGAGAGCTACCATTGCTAACTGTGAAGAGTTGAAAAGGATACTGAGAATCTATGAGAATGAGTCTGGTCAGAGTATTAACCTATCAAAATCAGAGGTGTCTTTTAGCAGGAATGTGAGATGGAGTAGAAGATTGGAGATCAGTGGGACTTTGGGAATCAAAACTGTTGACAAGCATAACAAATACCTTGGCCTGCCTACTGTTATTGGTAGATCAAAAAGAGAAGTTTTTCAAGAGCTGAAAGAAAGGGTTAGAAAGAGACTAAAGGACTGGAAAAGCCTCACTCTCTCGGCTGCAGGAAAAGAAATTCTGATAAAAGCTGTAGCCCAAGCGCACCTTATCTATCCAATGATGGTTTTTCAAATTCCAAAAGGAATTCTTCATGAAATTTAGAGTTTGATTGCCAGATTCTTGTGGGGACAAAAGCATGACGAGAGAAGGGTCCATTGGATTAATTGGGAAGAGCTATGTTTGCCTAAGGAAGCGGGTGGATTGGGGTTCAAAGACCTGAGAACGGTTAATACACCTATGCTGGGGAAACAGATCTGGAACATCTTAAATCGACCAAACTCTCTGATGGCGAAGGTACTCAAGGAGAGATACTTCCCTAAAACCGAGATTCTAAATGCTAAGCTCGGCAGCAATCCTAGTTTCATATGGAGGAGCCTTGTCAAAGCTAAAGATGAAATTGTGGATGGTTTCCGATCGAGGGTGGGAGATGGAGATAATATCAATGTGTGGGAGGATTGGTGGATCCCAAACATTAGGAAACTTACTACTAGTGATCAGAGCAACAATTTTGAGCCAAACATGAAGGTGAGCTCCCTTATTGATAGAGAAAGCGGTTGGTGGGATCTACCTAAGCTCCAGTCTCTATTCTCAAGTGATGTTCAATCAGATATTATGAGGATTCCTCTAAGAAATCCTCCAGCTGAGGATTCAGTTCTATGGTCTAGGATGGATAACGAAATCTATACTGTTAAATCAACATGGAGCTAAGGCAGAAGAATTATCCTTGGTTGGAAAGTAATAATTTGGACGCTCAAAGAATGAAAACCTACTGGAAGAAGATTTGGAACCTCCCAGTCCAACCAAAAGTTAAATTTTCCTTTGGAAGATCAGCAGAGACATATTACCTGTTGGAGCC